GGCACTCAAAGGGATTTCATTGAGGTTGAGGTTAGCTCCGTTAGGTGCGTCTCTTGCTGGAAACCTTCCAAGGACAAGTCGCATCACATTGCTCACGAGCTTGGCACCTTGTCTACAAGTCCGCTAAGGTCCGTATTTTGCAGGAACGCGACATGGTCTCAGGTTGCATTCCGTGACCTGCTTCCTCACTCATGTGGTTGCTTCGCCTAGCCAAGGCCTGCTTCCTCGTGGGAAGAAGGACAAGGACACTTCACCGGCACGGGTGATGTTCGTGCTTGACCAGCAGAAGAAGGTGCGACTGAGCAGCTCGATCCAAATAAACCCTAAACCGAAACCTCTGAGCCCTAAACCGAATGACCTTCGTTGCAGAAGGCCTTCGAAGGTGAGAGTGTTCACGCTGCTTATGGGCTTCTCCCGGCTAGTTTCGTCAATTGCCTGGCAGTCTTCGAGGTATGCAGTATCCTCAGACCACCGGCTTCAACTTCTTCGAGGTGTTGAGAGCGGAGCTCAGCATCACATAGGATTTAACTGCCAAGAGGTTTCGACTCGTTTCGACATTGCGTCGGGGCCATACAGAGAGGGGAGTTTCCGAAAATAGGAGCCCTAAAAAAGTACCCTAAATAGTAGGACCCTTATAAGGACCCAAAATAAGGTACCCCTTTTATTTTCGGAAACTCCCAGAGAGTGCCAGACAAAGAGAGGTCCAAAAACTGCCAAGGAGAAATGTCTTCGACGATCTTGGTTTGGTCTGAACATGCTTTGGATAGGTGAAATCATGGTGCGATGTCCTGATTGTCAGATTCCCAGGAGCACTGGACGCCTTGATTCTGAACAAGGCAGGTCGAACCCTTGACATGTTGCAGAACACAGTAGGTCGCAGGGGCAGGACTTGCAGCTGGCTGTTTGGGATACTGATGCTGAGCCGCAGAGTCCTTGTCGCATCCTCACCCACAGGACTTCGAATTGAACACCCCAGCGAACTGGCAGATGGGAGATCGCGTTATCGTTGATCCGAAGGTGGGTGCTGCAGACGGACGAACCAGTCATGCTTGCTTTTGAGTTGAATGGGTGGCCCATGCTGAGATGAGTACGAAGCAAGCCAACACTCGCTTCTGGAATCTGGAGAGCGTGGTGCTGCCCAGCGCAGCCCGGACCAAACCATTTCAGACTCGATATCTCCCACACTTTATACGATACAGTTACTCGCTGCGTGCCTCAAAAGGCGCACCTGGTGCTGCAGCTCTGAAATGCCTCTGCTTTGCTTCATAGTGATCGAATGCGGCCTAGCCAGCTCAGGCAAGCTGGACGCCGCCCAAGGAAGACTACCTCCGGTGGCCTGCGCTGTTAAAGTCCAAGTGCTCTCTTTCATATCAATGTCCAACGTCTCAGGTATGTCGACTGTCCAGATAGAACGGGGCCCGTCGCGCAAGAAGAGGCAAGGTGCAACCAGGGGATAGGGGTCAGCATAGGTGATTCCGGCCTTTGCCATTTAGTAAGACGTGTATTGAAGTCTAACATAACGTATTCCCCAAGTTTTGTTGTCATCGCAGTCCAAAGAAAAAGGTGCCGTCCAAAACACAGGGAGAGTCTTGAGCGATTTCTGTGCGACCACCAATTGCCAATATGCTTGCAAGACTCGTGCATCTGATATGCGAAAAAGGGTACCGGGTTCACAAGTTCAATGCCGTCCACGCAGGTGTCACTGCCTGCGACTCCTTTATTTGGTGCCCAAGTGTGGGAGCCGCCAGCCATTCAAGAATCAGTCAGGTTTCGGTAGGAATTTGGTGGTTGAAGGTCACCTGCAATACTGCGGAATTCATCGCAGCTTGTCGTCCAATCTCCAAAGTGCAAGCGCAACCTACCAGCTGCACATCAATAAGCATGTATATACAGACTAGCCGCTGTTGCTTGCTTGTTATAGTCACTTTTGATCCGTGCACCCGTAGACTCCAGCATGTTACATCGGCGACGGTAGTGGGTCCAAAGATACATGATGTTTACAAGTGCTACACATGTGCATGCGTGCATACGCCATTGCGTTCACAAAAGTGCATCTGTCTATCTGACTATCTGTCTACCGGGCTAGCTAGCTACCGAGCCTCCTGTTTACCTTTCTACGTATCTACCCACCTACTACCCATCCAACCGAACCCATCCATCCATCCATCCATCCATCCATCCAGTCCGTTTGTGCCAGCGTCCACCTGCTTATCTGCAAGGGAGTGGGTGCATAGGGCACCGTGTTACCTTCCATACGTAAAAGTGCTGCGTAACCTGGCGCTTCGCAAGATTGCGAGAAAGCCGGGCTTGCTGCGCAAGCCACGAGCCCTTGTGACTGTGCGTCTTTGTGCAGAAACGTCAAACCTCCTTTCGCAGTATGTTCTGTAAAGGCAAAATGGACATGGTCGCCGTTAGAACCGACAATTTATATAACTACATACTAAGTGTGTGTTTATGAAATAATTGAAAAATAACAAAATAAGTAACGAATATATATATATATATATATATATATATATACGAAAAATGTATATAGTATATATCTAAAGTATGTGTGTGTATATATATATATATATATATATATATCCATCTATCTATCTGTATATATATATATATATATATATTATAGATAGATGGATAGATAGAGCCTCTACGGATGCCTGTGCTCTCATGCGTACATGTCTGTGCAGAGTCATTTGTTCTGTGTGCATGGCTCTCTCACGCCTCTGTCTTCGCTGCCTCTGTCGCACAACTACTACGGCGCAGCCTCTGTCGCCCTGCAGGTGCAAGGGTGCTCGCACCCATGGGCAGTCAATCAATCAGTCATTCAATCAACCATATCTATATATATATATATACACACATATATTTCTATATACATCCGTCTAGGTAGTCGCGGGCAAGCAGCCATGCAGACCTGGATTTGTCGTTGCTTCTTTTCACTCTTCGCCATTGTCCCTCCATGCTGAGGCCAGTGCCACAGAGACGCAAAGTACCTCGGCAATCAACTTTCGATTCCTTGCAGTTGCACCAAAGCAGCCCGGAGGGTCTCGACACTGGAGCATAGTGTTCTCGCCTGGGCTTCTGCGGACAAAATTCTTGTCATGTTGGCCAAGTTTGCAGCGCAAGGACAGTGGCCGAGCAGAAAAGCCAAAGGACGACGAGCTAGAAGCATCTTGGTAGAGAAGCTTTGGCCAAGCTTGCAAGCTGTTGAGGTGCGGTCATGTCGGTTCGTTGCTTGCCTTGGCGGGAGGACTTGGCATGACAGCCGGTAGGAGTTTCAGCCAGAGTCCACACTGTCCTTCTCCGTCCGACTACCTCCACGACTTTATTTGACTGAGGTCTTATGCACCGGAGAGTGGTGCACCTGAGTCAACTCATTGTGCGCTGCGAAAAGCTTTGTACAGCAACCCCCAATGGGCTGGCACCAGTGTCCACTTGATATGTCAAGGCAGTGTGCGGTGCCGTAAACATTGCGGTACTCAGCCAAGTGGCCGGGGTGGAATTGTGGCCGTGCGGTCCGCAAAGCATGGACCCAGCACTCGCGCCGGAGCAGTCTTGGCAAAGCCCTTCTCCATTTGCTCCGGCATCGGCATGAGCCACGAGCCACGAAAATCACCGCAGGGCGAACCTGGTCGTTTGATCCCGCAGTCTTCACCGTCACAGCGGCCTTTCAGCTGGCGCTCAGGTTACATACAGGACATGTCGACGAACGGCACCCGCCTGAACGGCAAGCGCCTGCCGAGACCACCATATAAGCATCCGATGGCAGCCTGGTGCGGAATCTGGCTGTTTGAGATGTAAACAGAAGTTGGTGCTTGTAGGTCCTTTGTAGGGTCCGTCCGTGGGGACTTCGCGAAGGTCACGTCGAATCGGTTCGTCTGAAGTGTCAATGATTCAATGATTTTCCTGTCCGAGGATGCCCGTGTACGAATCTTCCACGGCGACGAGTTGGTGCTGTCCCTCACACCGGAGGGTGCCCAGCCTGACCTTAAACTTGAGCCCATAGTCATGATCTAGATCTATCGAGCATTGCGAACAGTGAGCGAGCAGTGGCCGGGGTTTGGTGTCAAAAGGACTCTTTCATCTTATCCATGGAAGCACCTCTCTAGACTGATTGACAGGGTTTGTCACTTCATGGCACTCCATAAGGAGAGGAGCTTGGCTATGTTGCGAGCTCAGACGCGACAGTCGTAGCGGATGTCATTCAATGCAGGTTGGATCACTGCATGGCCAGATGCAGGCATAATTAGGATCGAATTGTTTAGCGGGTGATCCTGACAGAAAGTCGCTGCACGAGGTCATAAATCTGCATGAGCGCGGAGCTCAGCAAGTGCGAGGAGTGCGGTTCAACATAACTAATCACCCTGAAGCACAAACTGGATGGCAAGGAATCAATCTCACCATGTATCTGCAGGGCTAGCCTTGCTAAGCTTGGGGCACAGGTTTGATCAAAAAGCCGTGGCGATGTAGTTGCGTCGAGTGCGTTCTGGTTTCAGCTTGAGCTCGAACCTTTGCACAAGAAACGGTCAAGTTCGTGCTCATGGAATTGCCGTCCATACGTGTTGTTCCCACTCTTTCACTTCTCGCGCCCGAGCATGCCCTCTTGCCCTCTCCCTCTTCCGCCTTCCAAGGCTGAGCGGCTGAGACTTGCGACATGCGGTGACGGGGAGTCCGCGTTCAGACGAGAGCTCCTTAGCCAACCGCTCCGGTTCCTTGTTCACACAGCTGCGTCGGGAAGTCGGCTTGCCCTGGGTCGCAGCGGCTATAGATGTGGAGCCCAGGCATCGAAATCCTGAGAAAAAGCACGGAAAAAGGCATGATGTCGAGCCTGTGCATGTGATGCTGGTCAAGGGATCGCCAAGTTATGAGGAGCTACTTGTAGCATCGTTCGCATCCCCCACACCGTAAGTCGAAGAGAGGCTGCATGACTTCTATCTCCTTGTTTGTTCTGCAGCTGTCATGTCCAGTTGTTCGCATCCAATGCTGCATCCTTGAAGGCGCCAGACGGGGTCGATGTCCTGCTCTTCGTCATGAAGAAAGCCATGCTCCCAGCTCCTTGTAGCTCCTCGTATAGTCCTTCTGTGAAAAAAATGCGTGCGTCCCATGTAGTCCGCAAGCGGAACCAAGGAGCGAGTCTCCTCCGCCGAGCAGGTCAGGAATGCGAGAGCGCTGAGTTGCATGGTTGGAACATTGCCAGCACTCTGTGTGCAGGAGACCTTGGCATATGTGACGCAGTTGCTCTTTGGCCCAGAGTGCCTGTCCTGGCCCAAGAAAGGACTCAGGGCCGCCGCCTAGTCAGTCCGTCGGAGCACATGCAAAGAGGCCAAACCTTTACATGGTCATCACGCGGGCTGGGCGTCGGTCGCGTGAAGGAAACCCAGCCGAAGCCCTTGCAAGCGCCTGCCCAGGCCTCGCGCGGGACGCCGCAAGCCGCGAGCGCTGGCTGCAGGAGCAGGCTCGGAGGGCCATGGAGGGGGCCCCGGGCCCTGGCCGCCTGGCCTTCAATGCAGCGATCCTTTGTACTCCAGCGCTGTGTCAGGTGGCGTCTTCTCCGCAGTTTGCTGCTATGGTCGCTCCTGGGCCGCAGTTGCACCCGGACGCAAAATTTCTCCGATTGCTTGAATATCAGGCGCTGCTTGGGCCAGCTCCTCTTTCACGCCTGCTCTTCATGGAGAATGCAGATATGTCAGAGGTGCGACGGTCTTTCAAAGCGGAGCTGGGGAGCGAAGTCCGTCGGTACTCGCGGAGACTCGCCCGAGGCAGAGAGTTTGGAGGAGCTTCGTCTTGCCGAGAGCCGGCGCTCCAAAGCCCTCCAGGCGCTGGGCCGGTCGCACTGTGCTCCAGAGCCCAAGCGAGACTTCGCTGGGCCAAGGATCTCCACTCTTTGCTCCAGAGACACCAAGCTGCTCCATTCAGGCGGGAGTCGCAGTTTCTGCCCATTTTCAAGGCTGTTGGGCTGCGGGGATTGCAGAAGACTTGCAGAAGAATCGTCTGCATGTATCTGTTTGTTCGGCTGTTGCCGACAAGGCATGGAATCATGCATCGAGCTGGACAGCTGCAGGCTGTCACCTCAGGTGCTTAAGGTACGCAGACCGGTGCACCATAGCCGTGTGAGCCGATGGAACAAGCAAGGCAGCGCATTTGGCTGAGCTGCGTCGCGAGCTGCAGAGCAAGCTTGAGGCACCTGGCCTTAGCTTGGGACGGGGGCTATGCCAAAGACCGTGATCCTTGGGCCGACGAGGCAGAGATGCGCGCAGAGCTCACCAAGGAATCTGCCATGAAGCTCCCGAAGCCAATCTTCGCATCTGCTTGCGTTGCCCCTGTTGCCCTCCCGCTCGACAGGCAAAGTCGCTGCCGGCTCACATCTTTGGACAGGACCGCGGAGCCTTGGCAGCAGAGCGACTGCGTTTTCAGCAGGAGGCGAGAGACTCGACTTGCCGAATCCCTGCCTTGCCGTGCGGTTCTTGGAAGGTGGAGGGGCAGCGCAGGGAGTTGCGCGAACAGGAAGAGGACAGTGACCAGAGGGGCCGTGGGTTTAATTATGTTTTACTTAGGTTCGGCTAGCTTGGCTTGGCTTGGCAGCTTTTTTGTTTTCCGTGTGTCTCTGCTTTGGTGGGCTCGGCCTGGCTTGGCTTGGCTCGGTTTTTTCTTAGATGTAGCTTTGCTTGGCTTGGCTTAGGTTTTCTTCTTCTTAAGTGCAGTGCGGCTCGGCCTTCGGCGCTTGGCTTGCCTTGGTTTTGCTTGGCCGCCAAGCCGAAAGTCGCCTCCTTCTTGAGGTATCCTGTCAGCTATGTCCAGAGTCGAGCCGGTGAACCCCCCGAGAAAATGCAGCAGGAAAGACGTATGTTGACATCTCGTGGCTTAGCAGGAACATCTGTGTAGGTTTGCAGAGAGAAATCTCATGATTGCTGTGAGGTATCAACTGCGACCTGAAACGCATAGGACTGTTAAACTGTAGATCTTCTTAACATTCGTCCCACTCGGGCCATGTCATCCGGCACCGAGCACATGGCATCCCAAGCGGGTGTGGGGGATGCGACTCTGCACGAGCATGATCTGAGGAGGCAGGGCTTACTTCTGTCAACGCAGGACATCGATCAGCACCCAGCTTCATGGCATGCAACACAAGAGATGCTGGAAGACCATGGAGCTCCTGCGCCTCCCAGGTGCACAGCTGCGAAAAGCTCGCCGAAAAAGCCCACTGTCGCAGCTCTAGAGGGCACTCAGGCGACACAGCCGGCCAGTTCTCAGGACCTAGTTACAGTGAAGCGCCAAAGAACCGAAGGGTCACAGGCTGTGGACTCGCAGGCAATGAAACTCGAGTTCAGCAGCAACGACGCGAGACAGGTTCTTGGTCTCCTGCTCCAGCGGGCGCAAGGAGACCGGCGTGCAGCAGAGCGAGAACGACAGAAGGCGGAAGCAGAGCGAGAAAAACGTTACGAAGCAGACACCGCCAGAGCAGTGGCAGAGGCGAAAGCCGATGCCGACAAGGCTAAAGCCGACGCCGACACGGCCAGAGCAGTGGCCGAGGCAACCACAGCAGCACGAATTGCACAAGCGACAGCTGCGGGCTAGCTCACAGCCGCTGCGAGCTTGCCGGTCCTGCTCTACACACCTTCAACAGCCTCGCCGAGATTCAGTCCTCCGAGGTTGCTCTGCGAGGACTGCTTGGACAACAGATGGTGGTGTGGAGCCCTGGGATCGGCAAACCCAAGGTACTCGCAACTTTCCTCGAGGCTCCTCGTCCTGGCAGCAGACCGAGACAGCCGCTTATCGGCAGGAAGCACTGGCCCATGTACGTGATACCCTGGACTCGTCTTGCCCTTACCCTGCAGAACTACATGGGCGCAAAACTCACAAGCAGATATCCCGCGCCAGGATGGGACGTCTGCTTTAATGCAGTCACTCATGATGCAGGACGAGATGATGAACTTACGCCAGCTCAGCGAAGCGGTCGAACGCGATCGGCGATGGCAAAAGCAAAGCGAGCCGCTAAGGCTACAGCTGTTCGTCGCAGGCCGTCGACAGTGTTCTCTCTTTGAGTCTTCGGAGCTGCATGGTGTGTTGTAGGCATGACGAGAGAGCACGAGGTAAGATACTTGCATGAATGTTTAGCGAGTCCTAGGGAGAACCTATGTCAACGCACAGCCAACTCCCAAAACAAGTGCAAGGCAACATAAAAAAAGTAGGGGACTAACTCTTAGGCCTTCTAGCCGTGCTCAATTGTCCTATGCTGACAGCATGCCCACTTGCAGCTCCCCGTTTGCAGCTTCCAGCTGCCTTGCATGTGGAAGAATGGGGGTTTTAGTCCACGAGCTTCAAGAGACACGGTTTTTCCCCCACGAGTGTAGCTACAGAATCGCTTGCCAAGCTGCTGCCGGAAAGAAAAGAGATAGAGTGCGGACTGCTGCTCAGCGAAGCCATGCCAAGCCATGCCAAGCACTGGCACGAAGCGCACACTCGTGCTTCCTCTGCGACTCTTCGTCAAGAGTGGAGTGGCCTCAGCAAACTGGCAAGAGGTGCGTATGCTGCCAGATCGGAGAAGCTTCTTCACTGCAAGTGCTTTAGCCGGGCCTCACTTAGTAACGACACTGAGGAGGCATTTTCATGATTTGGAGGAAGCCGAAAGCCGGGCCAAGCCATGCCAAGCCAAAAGCCGAGCCACGCCAAGGGTAAAAGGGCCAAGCCAGGATGGCCAGGCCAACCAACGCAGGCAAGCCAAGGCCAAGCCAAGCCGAGCCCGCAAAAGCAGAAAGCCGCCATGACGAGACATGATCAGAGAGATCAGCCGAGAGGAGCTTCGACATCGACTGGAAGCCGAGCCGGGGTCTCGTCTCCAAAAGAGTCTGCTTTCGGCCGCTAGTTTAAGTGCGATCGCCTGCTTGCTCGACTCAGGTGGCAGAGGATGCGCTGGGACTTCGAGCGACGTGCCAAAGAACGAGCGCGTCAGGACGACGGCCTCGTCAAGCAGGGCTCGCCACTCGGCCACCAGAAAGGGCCAGATCGCAGGACTTGGAGAACGTGGCCAAAGAGATTGTCGAGCAAACTGAAGCGGAGGCAAGGCGCATGTGTCAAGCGATTGTTCCTTTTCGTGCCGTGCGGTCTGCACCCTGCCGTCAGGTAGCGCAGCAGACAGGAGCCAAGCGAGGAAGACGATGCAATGTCATATGAGATGCCCTCTGCATCTCTTGATACGTTTGCAGACTCGACTTCGGCCGTGCTGGCTCTGACTCCAGTGGTCGATGGCTTTGGTGGCTCGCGTCAGCAATGCTACCTGCATCAAAAGGGTGGTGGCTTGGTTGCCCGAGTAGCATCATGCGCACCTCGCACGACGTCCTCGCCAGTTTCTCTCTGCAAGAGCGGCAGATCGCCAGGTGCACAGCACCAGAGCTGTTGGAGAGGACGCAAGGAGGGCACTCGATCGGTCGAAACGAAGGAAGCGCAGGAAGCGCCATCGAAACGCTCAACTGCGCTTCTGCGGTGAGAGATCCGGTTTGAGGATCCGTTAGTTTCGGTCATCTCTGATCTGCTGCGAGCAGCTATTTCTTTGTCCCCCTGGGGCAAGGGAGTGCGATGCTGACGTCAGCACGATCTCAGCCCGAACTTGCTGCCGCAGACTGCCAGGCACAAGCACGTGGGTGCACAAGTTGGTAGTTTGCCTTTTTCTATGGCTTCTGATGTCGACTGCGCTGGAAGCAGATGCTTTTCGTGCAGGGTACAAACGGTTGCCTCGCCGTGACTTACAGGCAAGTCGGATCGAGTACGAAGGTCGCAGTGCGTACACAGTCATGCCCCAGTAGCTGGAATGTGAAGCATCTTTAGAGGCTGCGACTTGCATGGGTGATTCTTCTAACTTAGGGCTTGTGATGTGTTTGCACGATCGAGCTCATCCTGTCAACGTTTACCAGCCTCCAGTCCCGAAAAGGGCTTCTTCGATGGTGAGCAGACAGTCACAATTTCACTTTGACATGCTGATGCTGTCAGATGTCGGCACACATATCGTGGCAGAAGCAAGCGTGTGGCATGTAGTATTGTTGATGTGTACATAGTGGTGCATGCCATGGCAGAGACAGCCGACGGCAGCTCGGCAACTGCAGCGAAGGTGCCTCCCTCAGCGCTTTGCTCCCATGTAGATCAGGTGTTGAGCTGAAGAGACCTCAGGTGATGCAAGATGAAGCTGCCGACAAAGCTGCAGCTCATGACGAGCCAGCACGGAGCTCTTCCAAAGCCGATGAGCCCGCGGAACTAAGATCGAAGGAACTTGCGCCCGCTCCCGATTCTGGAGGCCTCTCATGCTGTGTCGGCAGACGTGCACTTTTAGTTGTTGTGGATATGCCGTCGTTTCACGCAGACGCTTTTTCCCACGCTGCGAGCAGGGGACAGCAGGGTTAGAGTTGTCCTTGGAGCTTGAGAAGTAAGTAATGCTGTGTTGCTTCGGCGGGCCAGAGTCGTGGAGGCATCAACTCGGAGTCAAGGTCCGCCCTTCCTGTCATGATGGCTGTTTGAGAGGTGATTTGGACGGTCATCCTGCAGAAGTGCAGGGTGATGAAGATCAGGAGGCGGCTTGCGGAGTTTTCGCAGGCTTGCCTGCCCCGGGTAAGCATCACGCTCCTCAGGCCCGGAAGCGAGTCCGACTGCTCCAAGAGACCCTCGGCAATCAATTCATGCTAGGTGTAGTGCCTCGCAGCTGGGACTTACATGTAGAGTATTGTAGCAACAGGCTGGGGGGACCTCGGAAGTTTAAGTTGTATAGGGCTTACAGCCATTTACAGCCGAAGCCTTCAGGATTGGGATTGCGAATGCATCAGTTTGTGAGCCCTGTGGGTCGGGTTAGTTTCCAGCATGCTTCTTGGAGGCAGCAGCGGTTGCAGCAGAGGATGCGGCAGCGAATCTGCCAGGGCCCTGCCAGCGAGGTGAGGCCTTGCAAGCATCGCAAGTCCTCGCATGGCGCTGCATCCTGCATCCGCTTCGGTTTTCGGTAGCTGTAGCTCGAGCTTTTCAGCAGAATCTACCGTTGCACCACCACCGCCACCGGCAACGGCACAGCAACAACAACAACAACAACAGCAACAGGATCAACAACAACAGCAACAACAGCAGCAACAACAACAACAGCAACGACAACAACCACACAACCACGACCACCACGACGACGACGACAACGACACCAGCAGCAGCAACAACAACAACAGCACACACACGTTGGCTGTGGTGTACAGGGTTTGAAGGATTTCCAGAGGATTTCCAAGGATATAAAGAGGAAACCAAACACTTTGAAAGGATTTCCACGCATTTTCAAGGAGTTCCAAGGACTTTCCACTATTCTCAAACCATTAGACTGGGATTTTGATGGATTTTCAATCCATCTCCAAGGATTCTGTGTATCAGGGCGGGTACTGTCGGTGTCCAGCGTTCACGGGTGTCTAGGCTTAAGAACTTCCGGTCTTCTGATTTTGAGATTTTGGGGTATGGGTTTGGGCTTCAGCTCTGGGCTGCAGCGCCTAAAGCCCATGCTTTTCCAAGCAATGAGATGTTTCTAAACCCTTCCAGGTACCACCAGCACCATTCGAAACCATTCTAAACACCATCAAATTCCTTGCAACACCCACGCTTCAAAATCCCATTTGAAGCCCTCCTGGGGCCTTCCAACATCACATAAAGCCCTTCAAAGTCCTTCCAAATCTCTTTTCAATCGCTCGATATCCAATGAAAACCCTTGAAAATTCCAGACAACCCTTCCAAAACCCCATTAAGTAAGCCCTTAAGCCTCATAAAAAAGTCCGCAGAATCCCATGGCAACGTTACCAGTAAATCTCTTCCAAAACCCATCAAAACTCTTCTACAGTTCGCCAGCTTTTGTCTCTACCAGCAGGTAGAGACAAAGTCCTGATTTCAACGAGGCATTTGTCTCTACCTGCTGCTAGAGACAAGTTACAAGAACCACCTACAGCGTATTCTATCGTGGGGCAGGTGCTCTGTAAACCATGGCTTACATACCCGAAAACTATACAGGCACCCTATGCGGTCGCAGGAAGCATTCCCAATTGTTGCTAGTTAACAGAAGTTACGAGCTACTGTTTTTGTCTGTACCAACACCGACAAAACCAGCAGCAACAACAGCAACTATATCTACTGTACAATTACAACTGCATGTGCCCCTCAAAGCAGGAAGATGTTGTGCCAGGATGCGACGGCCCCGCCATGTCCTCCACTCCTTCCCATGCAGGCACGTATGCAGCAGCAAGTGCGCGTTCGCGGAGGGCGCATGCGAAGCATCGCAGGCGCAGCAAAATGCCGGGCATGCTGCATTCGACGGCTTGCCTGCAGCGATTCCAGGTGGGCCCAGCGCAGCAAGCACGCCTTCGTGGGCTCGCGCTCTCGCAGGCCTATTCCGAGAAGCGCCGCGAATGGATCCACGCGACGTCCAGGACCGTTTGCTGCTGACAGCTTCAATACGACTATAAATAGGTGTGACTAATTAGGTGTGGGCCGACTTCCGATCGGCGTTCAAGAAGCGGGGCACCCAAGTCTTCCTCCCTGCGACGTCGCAACAGAGCAGCTCCTCGGCAACTTGCTTGCCCCGTACGGACAAGGTACATGCTCCAATTGTCAGAGGAAGCGCTGCAGCAGAGCTTACCTCAGGCTGTGCTTGACAGCTCTTAGTCTCAGAAGCTGTGATTGAGCGAACTTCGATCTCAGAATCCGAAGGTGGATTTGCGCCGGATGCGGTTCTCTGCCAATGCCCTGGGCGGGCTGGTCAGTGGCCAGGTCGGGCAGTCGCGCACACTGGGTTTTGGGGGGACGGTAATGTGCTCATGCTGCTCACAAGGCTTGCGGGTCTCGGTTGCCTCGGTTGACAGAAGAACCCTCACTCTCTGACTCTCTCCTTTACACATCCGGCCCAGCCGGGTTAAAGCCGTCACGGCTGGCATCTGTCAGGTGCTGGAACCGGCATAAATCAAGCGAAGGGACGTATCAGAAGGAAGAGCCAAAACAGTCGCGTGATCATCTTCAGTTCAGTGTTCCAGCGCAAGCAGGGGCTTGCCATGCCAGTGTGCAAGGTTTGCATGAACTACTTGAACAACTCCTGCCGGCGTGGGCCGTGGCCTTGGGGCTGTTTGTGATAGCAGCCTGGCATCTCGTTGGAACATGATTTGGCAGGCTGCGCTGCATTGATCGCCACCCTCCTCGAAGTCAGTGGGCGAGGCGAGCTGTGAAACCTCAAGGATTCCACGGTCGGTCACGGTAATGAGAGGTGTCGATCTGAGCTGAAGCGCAAGCCGTGCCCCATGGGCGACCAATGCTTTCTGCCTTCGTGCGAGCCTGAGACCGGCTTCGAAAATAGCGGAGCGAGCATTGCTCTGCCTTTAGTGCTTCCTGAGGTGCCTCTACTTCCATCTTACAGAGGGACAGGACCCTTCTCGTGCAGAGTCGTGTTCACCACTCGATGCTCGATCCACCGCCATTGCTTTCAATTTCTCAAGCCGGGATAGGGATCCCTCTGCAAACTTGAATGGCAGCGTCACCAGCCTGCAGCTGCATGTTGATACGCAGGAGTGCTGCAGGAGGGCGAAGCATCAACTTGAATCGACTATGCAGACTGTGTCGCGAAAGCTAGCCTCCGAGGGCTAGCGGAATTACTAACACAAGGTTTGTTTGGCGATCCAGGGGTTGCTGCAGGCGCAGTTGAAGAGCACATCCTATCGTTGGACCACCACATGCCAGAGCGCACGATTTCCAGCGTGTCACGACGAGATATGATCCGTGGCCACGGATAACGTATTGCATGTCCATAGTGCACGCAGGAAGGGCCTCAAAAAGCTTGGGGTCTCGAAGCTTGCTGGATCTGGCTAAGGAGCAATCGGACAGGTTTGCGCGGAGGACGCAATCACTTCATCTTTTGGCTGAGGGTACCATCGGATCCAAACCACAAGCAAGTTGAGAGCTTGTGGCTTGGGATTGACCGTTGGTGGGTTTCGGGGTTTTGCCATGCAAATCCTTGTTCACCTCCCGCACTAGCTGCCCCCACCCCCCAAACTATCAGAAATTGTTTGTGTTGCTCACACGGCCACCACCATCGCAATAAAGATCGTTGTAAACCAGTTGCCGGCAAAATGTTCTCCATTCAGGACAGTGCTGCACACCAGGCGGAGATGGAGGGAATCGCCTCGGCAGACCAAAGGAGACCCGGCAGCGCAGCGCAGCACGCTGACCCGTGACAAAAGCTTGTGTCAGTTTTAGCAGCTTTGTCTTCGGGTGAGAGACGCATGCGGGGCTGTGACTCTACAAATTCTGGTGGCCTCTTCTGTTTTGTACGGCAGTGACATGCTGTGCTATAAAGTCGAGACCAAACAAAGTCAGGGTGCCCACTTCAAAAAGAGTTCGTGACTGATAAAGTCGTGGGTGCTGTGCTATAAAGTCGAGACCAAACAAAGTCAGGGTGCCCACTTCAAAAAGAGTTCGTGACTGATAAAGTCGTGGGTTTCATGCTCACCCTTCCTAAAGTCGGGAAAACCTTGGGCCAGGGCCACAGACGGGTTAACCGGGTAATGTATATTGCCGCGTCCAACATGTCAGAGGATTAACAGGTCCCTTGAGTGGAAGAGGCGCTTGCCTGGGCCATGCTCCAGCTCACTGCGACCCTACTGTGGATGCCATACGGTGTCCGTAAGAAGCAGTGCATCTCGCAGCTTCTTTCGTCAAGCCCGGAAGAGGGCTTCCTCGGCACTGGCGGCGGCGTCGACTCCCCAGTTGCAGGGCTCCACCGGGGACGACTCGAGCCTGGGATTGAGCGTCGCGACATTCTGCAAGGCTGTGCTAAAAACCTGAGATGCCACTTGTCTCCTGACTCCTTCGATGCTTGTGCTATACCGGCCTGGATTAAGCATGAGCAGAAGCATTGTTGGAGATATGTGGAGATGCTTTTCCAGCACGCAGTATGTGTTTGGACCAGTCGGAGACCAGACCACAACCTCCAAACAAGAGTAGAGCTACTCTGAGCTACTAGTAAGGCGCAGCGTAACAAGGATCAGAGTCCTGGTCCTGAGAGTGCGTAGAGACTGTAACTCGATCAGTACAAGCGAAGTCGACGGCGGGCACTCGGAGACCCTTGCCATGGCCTTCGCTCGACGTGCGCAGAGCGCGCGCCCCACAGGCAAGGCGCCGGTCCGGTTTGAGTGCTTCAGGCATTTTCAGGAACATGGAGCCATGTTGGACCGTGCCAGTGCCATTCCGGAGATGTGAATGGCATGTGGTACATCGGAGGTAGCCGGCAGCAATGGAACAGCTGCATTGCATGTGTCACAGGCCCACAGCGCGAGCAGCGTGTGAAGTTCGAGGTTCCGCCCAGGCGTCGGACCTTGTGGATTTGGAGCAGGAGCTTTGTTGGCAGCGATCTTCTACAAAGGTCGGGCTCCGTCAATTCAGCCAAGCGTGTCTCGGCAACGCAGTAATCGACGGAGTATCGTTGGGCCTTGTGGTAAAAGAGCCTCCATGCGATTCTTCAGGGGAGCTGGCTGCCCCGGTGCGGAGCAGGAGGGAGTGTCGGTGTCTGCAGTCAAGCTTCCAGCTGCCACACAAAGCCCAGAAAGGAGCGCTAATTCCCTGCACGCACGGGATGTGTCCTTCGGGCCGATTCCATCTAGCGTGGGGCTTACTGAGACCAACTGTCGAAGAGACGGAGACGGCCCGATGCAGCGAGGCTCTCGGTCTGTGTCGCGGACAGCGCGAGCACAAGCGGCTGTCGAGAAGGATCCAAAGCACAGCGGCTGGCCTGCATCCAGGACACCAGCTTAGGATTTGCCCCCTTGCATTCGCCGAATAGCCGAGGGTCCCGGTCAACAACACCATCCAACACGAGGCCAGGCCCTTGCATAGCCGCCTTCAGTTCGTGGAAAAAAGGTTTGAGCAAGAACTGAGCAGGGACAGAACGCCTTCGACAGCAGCTTCCTCCGCAACTTGGAGTTTAGCATTGTGCGAAATGTGTGCCAGCTTCGAGATGTTGCAGCCGCCGCAGACGCCAGCCTGAGCTGCCCATCTGCACCAAAAAGGCAAAGACGAAGTCTCCTTCTCATGGGCGCGACGCCACCCCGCTGGCGTACAGAGAACACAGCCTCTCAGCTGTCAACACGGATGGCAGCGGCGGGCCAGTTTGCCACAGAAAATGACTCAAGATGCACAGAACTCCCTAGCGTATATGTCATGACCGAAGACATTGATGCCTTTCAGGGGATTTTGTCCAACCGGTCCTTGGTGCTGCTCACTGCACATGGCGCTTTCTGGATCGTGGCGACCGTGGAAGCTCGAAGCCAGCAATTTGGCATCATTCCGGCCGTGCAAGAACTCCTTGCTTCAAAAGGTGACATGAAGTTTCGATGTTATCACGTCCAGACATCCTGCTTTGTCTACTTCGTATTCACCTGCACCCAATGAGTGCCTGGTCGGATGAGTTTGCGCAAGACTGATGGAGGTGTGACAGGGTGATCTAAGGTTGAGCCAGTTCCAGAGACCTCCAGTTTCTCTCGTGCGAAGCGGTTTGAAGACCATGACACGCAGGAGCCAGCTCTTGTCAAGGTCACATCGTGCACTGTGAAGCGAGCATGGGTGTTGCTCGAGATGATGTTTGATTTGTGGCTTGTACATTGTACGGTGCAGGGATGAAACTCAGCGGTTTGGTGTGAGCTTCGCGAAGGAGCTGTGGGAGCGGTCCGGCAGACACCCCGTCCACTTGAGCAAGCCGCAACCTGTCAAGCCTACAGCTGTGGATTCCGAAAGAGACCAGAGTCGGTTTGGGCAGCCAGGGCCACGTTGCCCAGAAGGCATGTGTCCCAAGGGGTTAGTTAACCAAGGACCTGGGACAGGGATGGCTTCGCCTCTTGTCTTTATTAAGAAAGCTCCGATGTTTCGGTCCAGGTACAACAGGCGCATCAGCGGCTCTGCAGCTTAGGAGATCAGGCACTTTCCTTTTACTTCTAGGCAAACTTAGGCAGTCTGCACTTAATCCGAAGTCTGTGCGTGTAGAGTAGCCCTGTAAGGCTGGACGACCAGCGTCTCGACGACATCAGAGAGGCGCAGTAGCGCCGTTTTGAATGTGGCACCAGTAGTTCTAAGGCCGGAGAAGCGCAGACAGCCTGAAAAGGATTATAGGGACACTTCCGAAAGCAAGTCAGTTGTTCAACATGTCCTGTGAAGAGTTTGACACAATCCCTGATGGCCTGAGCTGATGGTGCTCGGGAACGATCGCAGTGCCGAATGCAAAAGGCAAGCGATGCCTCATCGGTGCTCCCCACACCGCTTCTCGGCTGAATGATTCCCAAATGAAGCAATGAACCCCCATTGTCCGTAGCCTAATTCCCACGATTGCTTCACCGACTGCAGTACAGAAAGGCGGTTTGCTAATGCGCGACCGTGCTGCTTTGTCCATCGTGGCATAAAGTGCTGCCATGCGGTCTCCGCGTGCAGAGTCCAGAGACTTAGTGCCAAGCATACTCTCGGCCACAGTGGGGTTGACTACATCTCATTACATCCCCACATGTAAAGCTAAGGCCGACACACCAGAGACTCGTCTGCAGAACATTTGTCAATCTTCGCACCACATTGACGTCAACTTCGATGGAAGACGAGTCAGAAAAGGAGATGGCCAAGCTGGTCTGTGGGAGCCAGGAACTTCTCAGATCCTGGGAACTCAAGGAGCAGGCGGGCACAGAGTAGCCACAGATCTGCATGGGACCATGGAGAGTTCTGGCACCGGATATTCTTCAATGTCTGAGTTCAATCATGGAGTCAGGAGTATCCTGGCATGGAGAAAATCTTCGACGGTTGCGCAGGCGGGCTCGTGTAAGCGCGGCTCAGCAATGCTCGATTTGCCGGGCTCTGACTCTGTGGGAGCTTGGCGGCTTCGTTGCGGCTGGGCGGCTTGCGATTCAGGTTTCTCCGATCAGGCCGCCGACGTGGATGGGCCCAAGGCTGCAGGAACTCGGCACTTTCACGGCGCGCCGCATGCTCTTTGGCTGCAAGAAGGAAGCCTCGGCCACGAGGGCGCAGATTTTGTTTCCGATGCTTCTCTTTGTGACACCGGCAAGGTGCAGGACACGCCCGGCTTGGAAAAGCTCATCTGCGGCAGCAACAAGATGTCTGAGTTGAAGGAATTGGGAATTAGCTGATTGGTAAGATCTTGTCATTCGGGATGCAGCTTGTGCCAGTCTTGTTTTGCCCGAGTGCCAATACTTTGCTCAAAACACTCCGCACGGTACTTTCGATGCGCGCCTGCAACGACCTTGGTAGGATCTGCACGAACAGAGCCGTCCGGACTTGTCCAACATGTTCCAAGGCCGCCGTTCGAAAATCGCACCTGGTTGCAGTGCAAGCGATGTAACTAAACGGCTTTGAGTGAGGATATGCAGTAGCATGCCTGTCCTGCAGGATTTGCTGGTCACAGCGCGCAGGACGTGGCCACCAAGACAGTTCGATGTACAGCTGAGCAGAGGGTGCGAAATTGGCTCACCGTGCGCTTAAAGGACGAGGATGCCAAAGGGGGCGGCGCTCGCAGCAAGCGGCACTCTGGCCAGACCGAAGTGTTTCCTCCAAAAGCGCAGGGAGCTTTGATGATGTCCGATTGTGACTTTGCCCAGGAATTTCTTTGGCGCGCCGCATGTCATGGACTGCAGCGGTGATTTTTTGCAGCTGTAGTTCGCGTGACACAACTCGGAACTCTCCGACGGTTTCCGTTTCACAAGTTCCGACTGCAGGACACGCCTTTGTCCGGCATCCTTTGCGGAAGCGAGCAGCTCTCCGATGCTCATTGGCACTTGGCCACAGCATAGATTAGATGCAGCATTGTAACGAATGATGCGCGACGGCTGACAACAGTTTGCCTGTGGCGAACTGGTTTTGGTACCGAGTCATTAATTAGGCGGCGACAGAGTGTATGTCAAGCGGCGTGTGAATGTCAATCATGTGATCTCCGCTTGGAAAACTGCCCATCGGTTCCGTAAGTGCAGCAATGCCGCATATTGATATCTCCATTTTGTGCATCTGCGTGTTTGGCAGCGGGACACGCCTACTGGTACCTGGCAGGAACACTATGATCGGCATCACCAGAAGCTTGGTGACTTGGAGAGACCGAGACATTCTGCACTCACTGAACAAGCAACATGTTCATGGTGTTTTGAGCAGTTGCTCGTTTATGTGACCAGCGAGCAGGATGTTCTTGTTGCAAATGCTTCCGTTCGCCTGACAAGCCGTGCTTTCCTCTCCTTCACTGTCACACAGTTTGCTGATTTCAGGTTCTCACCTTCAGCATATGTTCGCCGGCCATGCTGGAAAGAGCTTGCAGGACGAATCGATTCCGGCGCAGAGGAAGGTGGTACAGTAAAGCTGTGGCAGACGAGATGTAGACTGCCAGGAAGCCTGAAAAGCTGACGCCCGTCCCTGATCTGTCCAAACCCCGGACCGTTAGTTACCCTCTTATGAACTACACGTCAATATGTCACGTCCTCTCTCAATTGCCTTCTCCTCATGAAAAAATGCAGTCTGGGCCCTGCGCCGTCTGCCCCAAACAGCCGCAACCCTCACCTTCAAGCAGAAATTCACGACACCTCCCGTCCCTTCCTCCTGCAAGGACGAGGACCTTGGCGATGGAGAAAACAGGCGTTCCTGGGCTCGAGATCTCATGAAATCGACACCATGCCAGACCACCACCGCAAAGTGATCACTCATCTGTCAATGGTTTTGGTTGCGTCACGCCTGCTCCCAATTTGAGCTTGCGCTTAGGCCTGGGCAAAAGGGAATTTGCGGGGGCGCCACATGTCGTAGACTCCCAAGACGTGCACCTCGGCGCAATGACGGTGTCTGTCTGTCTTCTGGTGGAGATTTGTGGAAGGTGATTCTTCTTGAAATGCACAGGTTCGACTTGGTATGCGGCTCGCCAACTCTCAAGGAGGCCTCTTGTCGGTAAGCACTTGCTGCAACCGACTGTATGCATGAAAACATGTATGTGCTCATGCACTTAGAGGCCGAGCACGCCAGACACTGGTCCACCTCGGCTGTGTTATATTGTTGTTGTAATCCAACGAGATCCCAAGTGGTCACTTCCTGTGCTTTCTGACCCGTACCAGACATGAGAATGCTTGCTCATCGAGTTCTTAGATGCAGAAGACCTTGCCTAGCAGCAAGTAGCGCCAGCACCAAACGCAGAGCAGTAGCAACTAACCGAGCGCAACCGGTAAACTGGATTGTGTCGGTCAACGAGTCAACGAACCTTCCTGAATGGCTGGCCTGAAAGAAGGGGAGGAGACTCATCATCGTTTGCTGGTTTCCAAATTTGTGGGTTGAGCTTTTGTGTTTGCAACTGTTGCTGGTACAGGCGCACGCGAAGAAGGCAGACTGTCGGCTGTGTCGCGCAGACTCTGCATCGCTTAACAGGCTTAACATGAGCACCTCCGTTCCAGTGGGAGGCGAACCCACAGCTTGCGAACATCTTCGATGGTTGCGCTGGCCTTTGCCTCCAGGCCAGTCACCAGGGTGAGAGTTGACTGGTACCAGTCAGAAGCGTGTGTGCACATGAGGGTGCAAGTGCTTTGTTGCTACTTAGACTTGTTTATGCTAACACCACCTATCCCAACCGGTGGGTTATGCATGCTTCAGCTGTTCAAAGTTTGGTCGGGGGGTCATTACGTTCTGGGAAAACCGAAACCCGATAAAACCCCAAAAGGCCTCAACAATTGCCCTCACCAGATCTGGAACTACGAGTGTGCATGGCAGTTTCGGCGCAATTCGCCGGACTGCTGGGAATCGGCATAGCTTCTTTTCATAGCCTAGAACCGACCCAAGCTTGAAGACGTCAGCAATCCGCAGCCACAGAAACTCTTGATTTGGATCTGCCTCTCCATCATAATCACCAGGACTAGGATCATTAAACTCCTACTCTGCATGACTCTCACCGCCCCCACATATTAACCGCATTCATCAGCATAGTCTTTCTCTCCATCCTAACCGACACAAAACCACCATGTTTGTGATTTGAATCCTTATCATCAGCATCAGCAGCATAAGCATCATCATCATCATCATAATTGTTCGTCCTCCTCCTCATGCTCAGCATCATAATCACCATGATCATCATGTTGATGCTCCTGTTCATCACTCTCACCTACACATACACCCTACTCATCATCGTAATGTTCCAATGTTCGCCTCCATCCTGACAACGAAAGAACGTGACCATGATCATAATCTGTATCTTGGTCAACATCACCGTGATGATCACCAGAATCACCATCCTCATCTTCATTGGTCATCATCAGAACTGTAATGACTCCATCTTTTGCATCGGTCTAAACAGCATGATCATCGTCGTTATTGTCATGTTCGTGACCGCCATGCGAGTATTGCTGCCGTAGCGAATACTGATGCTGCTACTTGGGGTAGGGATCAAAAGCATCAAACAGGGTTCTACAAGATATCAAATAAATGTCAAAACACAAATCAAGCAGGACTCGCAAAACTCCAACCACAGAAATGCTGTGAATTACAGAGTTTTCAGCCGGTGAACACCCACAGACTGGTATTTCTTGAGGAAGGAGGGAAGGATGCTTGGAAGAACTAACCCCAAAGGCTGCTAGTAAGTGCTGTCTACTACTACTATACTACTACTACTACTACTACTACTACTACTACTACTACTACTACTACTACTACTACTACTACTACTACTACTACTATACTACTACTATACCACTACTACTACTACTACTACTACGACGACGACTACGACGACGACTACGACTACGACTACGACTACGACTACGACTACGACTACGACTACGACTGCTGCTACTACTACTACTGCTACTACTGTTACGTCTACTACTACCACTACTACGACGACGACTACTACGATGACGACGACGACTACTACTACTACTGCTGCTACTATTACTACTACTGCGACTTACTACTACTACTACTACTACTACTACTACTACTACTAGTACTAGTACTACTACTACTACTACTACTACTACTACTACTACTACTACTACTACTACTACTACTACTACTACTACTACTACCTACTAGTACTCCTACTCTGATTACTATTACTATTACTCCTATCCTTAACCCTTTGCGCCGAACCAGAACCACAGGGTTTAGATCAACAAGGCTTATATGAAAGGAACCCAAAATCTCATTTTTGTATGTGGTTGGCTTTATTTGTGTTTAAAAGTGTTTTTTTTTTTTTAAAAGTATTGTTTTGTATTTAAAAGTTTTTTAAATAGGTTTTTTTGTGTTTTACAGTTGTTAAAATTCTTTTATTTTATTTTTGGTGTAAAAAATACATGTTTGTGAATTTTGTTTCTGAGTGAGTCAATTGGCTTCCTGTTGTTCTACCTGGTTTCCTGCTGCTGTATGTCTACAAAATTGTTGTTTATTTGTTGTTGAAGTTAATAATTTTTAATATTTAATCTTTTTAAATAGTTTTGGGTTGTGATTGAACAAAGAAGGGAGGCCGTAGTGACATGTTGACTTGCCTTGAGATCTTGCCCTTACCCACACGGATCGACTGCCCTTCTCGGTTCGTGGGCACCGTTGGCCGGGTGTCAGGTTATGAGGCGATTGTATCTAGACCGCCTTGGGGCCAACGTGCCAGGGCAGTGGCATATGACACCCGGACAAATGGGCTAAAGTGCCGGGTGGGGCGGTTGAGGGGTTGTTCGCAGCCGTGCTTACAGCCTTGAAGGGGAGGCCATCCATGCTTGTCGTCACGTTTTGTTAGGGAGCCTTGCGACTTGGATCGACAGAGGCAGAGTGCCACCTTACCCACACGGATCGACTGCCCATCTCGGTTCGTGGACACCGTTGGCCGGGTGTCAGGTGTTGTCGATGGTACCTGGACCGCCTTGGGGCCAACGTGCCAGGGCAGTGGCATATGACACCCGGGCACATGGGCTAAAGTGCCGGGTGGGGTGGTCCAGTGGTTGTGGCTTTTTTATTTTTCTCCCAACCAGGAGGGGAGGCCATCCATGCTTGTCACGTTAGTTAGGGAGCCTTGCGACTTGGATCGACAGAGGCAGAGTGCCAGTCGAGCCTCTCGAGGTTGCCTTACTTAAGTCCCTGCCCCATCGGGGTTGCTCCCCACACCGTTGGCCAGGTCTAAGTGTTCGGTTTGAATCCAAGCCTAGTGAACGCCTTCTCTTCCATTTCCTTCTCTCCCATCGGTCTTCATCGGCTTCCAGCCCATCGAGAAGTGGATGCCAACTGCTGGGATCTCAGCATCAGCTTGCTTCAGCTACTTCCATTATTATGGTACAGTCCTGGCACCGAGGCTCATGACGAGGATCCTGAGGACATGCTGCCATCGCAGAGGACAAGCTGCCTTGCATAGTCAGTGAGCGTGTCATGTATCGCAACTTGCCGCTGCAGCAGTTGTGCTCGCTGTTGCCCTGCGTAATCTACTATAGTCGTGTTACAGCTGCTCTGTCTCAAGTCTAAGTCGTAGTAGGCCCCCCTGCAAGCCGGCAGATGTCGTCGACGTCGTGGAGTGACAGTGAGTCTGTGGGCTCGGACTGGGTTCTGGTTGACGATGAGGGTGCAAGCACTGCGGGCTCGGTCGCGGACAGTTTTGACGACGATGATTCTGTGATTCCGTTCGACACGATGCTAGAGGAGTGCT